GCCGAGGCTCCTTGGAACCACAGGTTTAGATATGCACTTCGCCCTTTAGGGTAGATACATGGGAGTTATTTATATGTTTGGGTATATGTCAGAGAAGGAGGCAAGTTCTGTGCTGAGACAACTGAGTGCTATCTGATTAAAATCACTGACCACTGCCATTTACACTATTTGGGTTTCATAAACAGCTCTACTCTCTATTGAAGCAAATAGTTGCCCTTTCCTGAAAATCCAATTAGAATCTGTAGGCTGGCGATCTTTTTGTATTGTAAATGTCTGTGGGGAAAAAAGTAATAAAAAGGCAATTGTATTAACCTCTCTTCCTCTAAATTTCCAACGGTGCAACTAGCTTGCTGCAACCAGCACAAGATCGAGCTTCAGTTCTTGTGTGGAAGATTTTAATGGAAATAATTTTCTTTGTTATTTTTGTAATAAATCTAAGGAAATACCCTAGTTGCTGAGAGATTCTGTTCTGTTCTGTTCTGTTCTGTTCTTGTGCATGTATTTAGTCAGTGGGTAGAGGAAGGTGTCTGTCTGCTGTCCCTCCCAGGTCAGGCTGTGAGCTGGGAGATTAAAAGGCCTTTCATACAGAGCTTTGAATTTCTCAGAAAATAAGTGGAACCAAGTCTATTGTCTGCCTATTTGTGCCCCAAAAGAAATAGTTAATGAGGCATTTCCTATCAGCCAAAGCAAGAACTTGGTATAATATACCCTCTGTGCAAGGTGAATCTCTCTGTGACCTTGTTCCTGTTGCCATAAATATCTTCCTGTACAGATAATTCTTTTGTTTGCCTTTGTGTCACTGCTACATAGAAATGAGGACTTCATCAAACTGATGCCAAAGCAGATAGGACATCACAGTAATAATGATAAGTTTAATGCTAGATTGCGTTTACATTTTTGCAACCGTACAATATTTCAACAGTTACTACATTTACAATCTGCTGTCCACAAATCCTTTGTGTTGTGAGCACCAGAGATAGCTTTTTCTGCCAGTCCTTATCAGCTAGTAGTAGCTTCTGTTGCTGCATAAGGCTGACTCTATAAAATAACTGTGTTTCCATTCCATTTCACAATACAGAGCAGAGATTGTTGGATAGCATTGTCTAAGAATCACTAACGTTTCCAGTGTCTGTGTCAAATCCAAATTTATCTAGAGACAACTGATTAGGAGGGTATAGTAGTAGCATGTCCTTAACTCTTCTGTCTGAATATTGCCTGGGGTAAACTGGTGGATAAAAAGTTTTCCATTACCTAAGCTTTCAGTTCCTGAAGAGGGTTAGACTGACAGTTTTGTATTTTGGATCCTTCTTGGAAGTATTTGCAGAGCTTTAGTAAGAGAGTCTTCTTTAAGTGACTGTACATACATGAATTTTGTCATTAAAAAAAATTCTGAATTTATTTAAGTTAGCTGCTTTTTTCAAGAGAATGGTTATAACACACTTTGAGGTGCAGATTGTGATGGGTCACACCTGGATGTGTCTCACAAATACCCCTATCTTTGATATGTGGCAGGCGTAGTGAGTAACTCTGGTCATTCATTTATGCAAGGAAACTGACTATGAAGGATGTTCAGACTGCTTAGATTAGGCGTTTAACTTAAATTTTGTGGCCTTAGAAGGTCAGATAAAAGATGCATGTAGCTCAGTATCCTTCCTCCAGAAATGGCCAGTTAGGGATGTTAAGAGTACAAAAGTTGGGCAAGCACGCTATGATACTTCTCTAGATTACTGCCCTAGCCCCTAGTGATTTGCAGCTCAAGGACTACTTGAGCCAGAAACAGTTTCTTTGTACTTAAAAGACCTCCATGCATTTTTCTAGTATGAATTTGTCCAGTCACTGTTTGAAACAATGTCAGCTTTTAGCATCTGTAACATTCTATGGCAAATAGTTTTCTCACTTAATTGTGTTCCCAAGTTCTACCTTCAGAAGTGCTTAAGTTATTTCAACAAGTCTTATGTGACTTTTGACAATGGATCTGGGCTCTGATGATAGCAAGTAGCAAAGTCAGAGGAATTAGGAGGAGTGTGGAATTGTTATATGAAGAACAACCACTTAATGATTAAGACTAATGGGCTCCCCGTGTTTTTTTTCACTTGCAGTCTGAAAACAAAGTGATTATTCATGTCAATAATGAGCAGAGTAAGAACTGTCTAAGTAATAGGGGACTCACGGTTTTTGCTGTTGAAGTGGCACCAAAATCCATGACGGTAAGATTTTTGTTGTTTATCTAATTTGAAATCACAGAATCACAGATCTAAGCAAAAAAAAAGGGAAAAAGAAAAAAAGAAAAAAAAAAAGCATGTGGCATCTTTACAGTTTCCTTTTACAAGTCTTTCATCATAATAATGAGAATATGGAAAGTGGAGAAGTCTGTCTTCATCACCTGTACAGCTAAGACTTATGCCTTGATATTTCAAAACTGAACACGTACTTGACGTATCAGTGTTTCCCCGTGCAGATTAGCTATAAAAGTGCATAGCTGTTCAGTTTTTCATACATATGTATGGTTCAGTTGTCCATTCAGTGTATGTACCATTTATTAATATTGTTAAATTTTCTTTTTAACTTAAGTTTTAATCTGATGTATAGATGGCTGTGAGGAACAGACCAAGTATGTGCTAGTTATGAATAAAAATATCTATATTGAACTCCTTATGCACAGTGTTGTTTACAGACAGCAAATTTTTTTAAAACTTGACTTATGGACCACGTTTAGCCATGAGGCAGTTTGCTATGTTGATCCCTATTCCCGAGTTGGACAGGTTTTAGTGAAAATTTTAAATTATGGTTCTAAGGTAAAGAATGATGTTGAAATTGCATTACAAATACAAATGATGCTTTTCTTCATTCATTTATGAAGACAATCCAGTTTTTATAACTCTAAAAGTATGAGCTGTGTCTTTAAAAGAGGAGACATCCGAACTATTTTACATTTCACAGGTTTCCAAACTACTGCCCTGATGTGGATGCACTCAGGTCCACTATAAACAGATACAGTCCCATGAGACTGGCAGGATTGGGACCTATTCTAATATTACTGCTGACACTTCAGATAACTAAAGTGTGACCCCATAAAGTGTTTTATTAATTTTAATTTCTGCTTCCTTCAGTATGAATTGTAGACTCAATGACTCTCATGGATTTTTTGCTGTAATGCAATTAAATTCAATCTTAAGTATTGAATACTAGCAGTCATTATAGATGCTGAATGGTCATCTTTATATCTTAGTGATAAAAGTACTGAAACAGTTACTTTTTTCTAAATAGCACTTAAAGTAACATACACACAGTTCTCCAATAAACTATTTCACTAACATCTTCTCTCTTTTATTCAGGTTTCCCAACATGTGATGCCACTGAATGAGCAGGAAGAATGGCTTTATAATTGTGTGCATTCCCTCTTACGTTAAATGCTCTAGTTAGAGCGCTGTTTTTTGGTAGCATTCAAACTAAACCAGGATTTCTTTTTCTCAAGTTCTAGATAATTTCTAGTCTTGTCCTCATCCAAAAGCTGGCACAAATTGATATTTCACTCCCAGACTTTCATTTGTTAGAGTCAGTGAATCACGTTATCTACTTATTTATTTCTGATATCACACTTCTGCTAACGGCTTTTAGGAAACTGCAAGGTCTGATGCTCACCTATCTTAACAGTTTAAGGGAATTAGAAATATAAAAGCTTTCGCTTATCAACAGCTAAAATAGGCTAAAGGGAGAAACATTTTCTCTGTAGAATAAACCGTGAAAACATAAACCTGCAGGAAGATGTAGGAGGAATGATTCCCTGTCTGAATGACAAACAAACGTACAGATGTGCATCTTTGATGACATGAATCACATTTTGAACATCTTCGAAATAATCCTCTTCCTCCATTCTCCTGCAGAGCTTTAGCTGGTCACATGCACTATGTGGTGAGGAATTTACACGCCAAGGGCTGCAAATTATTGTTTCTCCAACTCCCCTTCCTACTTAACAACCCTGAAGTTAACTGGAGAGGAAGCTCCATGTATTTCATCTCCTTGAATGTCCCATCTCTGTTTTAGACCTATCGTTGCCCAAAGCAGAGAATATGCAGTTTTAGCTATTTTTTTCATTTATATTAGGCTCTTGGCAAAAACTATTTTTTTTTTCCACAGCTTGAAGACGTCTCCTAAATTCTGTTACTGCCACAGGGTTATTTTTTCTTTCTTTTTTTTTTTTTTTTAAATATCATTCTTTAATTTTAACCCCCAGCTGCTTTCCTTCTCAATATGCCCCAAATTTTGTAACCAACATTTATTTTTACTTATTGGATATCCTGTTAGCCTCCTTGAATGCTTTCTCTTTTCAGCAGTGTGATCACCTGTCAGTGTCGTGTGTGTTTGTTGCTTCCTACTTCCTACCTTCAGGGAAAATTGTTCTTATTTCCCTAACACGCCTTTCTTGTTCTCTGCCTAGTTCTCTTCCTATTCAGCTTTCGTTATTTCAGTTTCACACTATTGTCTTTATGGTTTTTCTTCTTCTTTTTTTTGCCCTGCAAACAGCCTAACTGGAAAGCTTTTTCTTTTCTTTTTGTACCATGTAGCATTCAATCAAATACTACTTTGAAGCTCACCGTTTTGACATCTGAACCTTAACCATTTGGTTTATGATTTTTCTAATCAAGATGATAGAAATTTGAGGGACTAGTCCTTGCTTTCCTGCATGTTTTGAAGTGCCAACATTAACATTGGCATCACAGGAAAAAATCACGATCGTTGAAATTTTTTGAAACTATTATGACTCTATAAATTAAAATTTTAAGACTTTTTATATTTGGAGGGGAGGGTAAGGGACGGGTGTTCTGGGCTTGCTGAGTGTCCATGAAGGAAATTTGATGCTATACATATTGCTGAATATGTCATTAGAAATGAAGACTGCAATACTTGAGTGAAAGCTAAATTACTGCTGCCAAGAGTAACTGCCAGTGCCAGTTACTTCAGTCTCTTAGTATTTGTTTCTAGAGTAATGCTCATGGAACTCATCTCTGTGTTCTGGGTAGCAATATTATTTCCTGTTCACAAATCGAAATTGACATTTAAACAAGCTCTGAAGAAATACATTTATTAGATTTATTATTATAAAATTTATTAGTCTTCTCATCACTATGATCAGAAATCTAACTTATGATACACGAGACTGAAGTTTGACTTCTAAATCTGTATTTAAATACCTAAAATAAGAGGGCAGATATTTGAAAATGTTGAGCATTAACAATAAGGAGAATTTTAAGGGATTTAATCCACATCCACATAGACTAAAGATATAAATTGAATTTGGACTTCATCTATGTGTTTGCAGAAATATTCTCCCCTACTTACCGTTAAAAGTCAGCCTCTGATATATAAACATGTATGCAAACATAGTATGCAAAATCCTTTGATGGAGTAGACTATTCAACAGATACTCTCTGACACAATAAATTTGGAATGAAAACTTACTGAGAAACAATAAAAAATAGTAGTGTTCAATAATACAGCTGACAGTAATAAGATAATTGCATTTCTGTAAGGGCTAGCTTCCTTAAATATGCCTTTATTTTCTGTAATATGTACTGTAATTCCATCTTATGCTGGAATTGCTTCACTGAGAAGAAATTTGCTTTCTTAAATTGATCTGATGGGTTACTAATTCAACATTCCTGTGGTTTTGACCTGGGAAATATAAAGAGGTGGGTTCTTGATTTCATTTTGCCACTTGATAAAGAATTTTTTCCTTTTTGATTGTATTTGGTTTGTTTTAATTGATTATAATACTCATTTTGCACTTCTTCTGAATAATTAACCACTGTTTTTTATATGCTTTTGTGTAAAATAAAGTCTGGGCTTTCACATATAATAAGGAAATAACATTCTTTGAGGAAGATGAGAGCTTTGTTTTGGGCTCTTGACTGTTAACAGAAATAAACTATTTCCAGAGTAGCTGAAATAAGGAGGTTAAAGTCCATCCAGTATAAACTGCAGCAGAAATGAAAAAGAACTGTGAGGCGCCGAACATATTCAATCTGTTATGTTTTTCTAGTTCCTCTAAATGTCTGTTACCATAAAAAATGATGACCCTGGTCACTGGATGCTTAAAAAGTGTCTGAGTTTAAAATAGGCAGTGAGGGTAGCAAGTAGTCCTGAAAAGCTATATGCATCTGCCAGCAGCTCCTGTACTGTCTGCTGTTACTCTGCTGTAATTGAATACTGGGCAAGTAAATGTCAGTTACAAAATGAGAGCAGGGCTAGAGGCCTGCTGTGATTTACACACCCCAGGAACCCATGCTCAGGCAGGTCTAACTGGTGATCTGTTTCTTTTTCCTTAGCCAGTACAGCAGACAATAGTTTTTTTGTTTTCAGGATTGTCTGAAAAAAAAAAGTTGAAATTGTATTAGCAGACTCCACAAATACTTGGTAATTTCTAGCTGAAAAGTTAATGCAGATAAAAACAACAGTGTAAGAACTCTGAAATGCTGCCTCTGGGCAACATTCCTGATGTAAGGATACATCACGATTTCCTCGTTTAATGTCTAAGAAAGAACTGGGAAATACTGATAGATAAAGGAGGCAGAAGTACAAAGTGAATGCTCCATTATTTATATTTTCTTTGGTTATAAAATCCACCTTGGTAGACGTGTCAGGAATTTTTTAGAAAAAGAAAGCCTAAAGCTGAAAGAAGTACTTAGCTGAGAAATCATTACACATGAAAAGACTTAGTTTTACTGCAGTTAGGGTCTAGTAAAATATGACACAGAGCAATAGAGAATGGAGTGATTTTGGCTTTCCGATCTTGTTCTTCCAGCTGCTAAGAAGAGTTTTATTTTCTGACTTTTTAAATGGGAGCATAGGCTAGTTCTCTTCTCAGTGGCAGGTTCTACCTTCCTTGCCAAGAAGGGAGGAGGTTAGAATAGAGATCTCAGTCCTGTGTGCAGAGTATTTTCCAGTTTGCTTTAGCCTCTATGTACCGGCTGCACTGAATAGGGTCATTCAGTGACCCTTCAGGGTAAGTGTTCTAGTTTCAGGACGAGGGAAATAGTGCTTGAGGAGAGAGGTGATAGCTTTTGTCTGTGTCACTGATTTCTTAGTCCTAATGCGTAAGAGGGACTTAAAACTCCTTCAAAAATACAAGCCTGAGAATTAAGATTCAGAGCTGTGAGATGCCAAAAGAAGCAGTGGACTCAAGAAAAATACTAGCATTATGGCCATTAAAATCTTCTCCACATACCTTCAGTTTATCTTTCCACTCTGATTGTTCCAGTGGACTAAAAACCTTATGATTTTTCATGCAAAACATTATCTCACTGATACCTTGGTGTTTCTGTTACTTACAGGTCATGTGAGTTTATTCTGCTACATAGTGTTTATTATTTTTATTTACTTTTTTTTTTTTCACCTGTAGCCTTCCAGGAGTGCTTCAGTCTTGGAAATACAAGCTGAAGGCACTCAGAGAAAATGCAGATATTGCACCCTCCTTAGGCCCCCGGGGTCCTATGTGTCTCTTCACCACGTTTTTTACTTGGCAGTATTCTTTACAGTACTCCGTCTCCTGATGCCTTTGCCAGATACAATTATTTAACCACATAGGCAAATCCTGCTGTGTATGTTTTAATACATGACTCTCTTTAAGTTTTTAGGAGTACTCACGATTTTATCCTCAGTGCCCCCAACAGCAATTCCAGTTTCAAATCTGCATTTTAGAGATGGACGCAGGAGCAGGGCCTTAAACAACTCCCGTTCTTAAGTTTCTGAGTGAATCCTTCTGCATTTCTTCCCCAGCCCTGAGTCATTTTCGCCCTGCTTGGTCGAGCTCTGGCTGCCAAGTATTGAACCAAGCCGCGCCTTTAAGGGGCGGGAGCGGGGCCGCGACCGGCTCCCC